AGCACAGAAGAAACAGTCATTTTGTAGGTATTGTTTCAGAATGTAAAATTAAGGAAGAAAATAGGGCAGAAGGGAACCAACAAACAAAAACAGATGTTAAAAAGTTATAAACATGAGGATATAGTTTTTGGTAAGAAAGGTTAAATATTTTAGATGAAAAAAAGATTTTTAAATGTGTGCAATTAAATCTCTTTGGATAGTACCTAAGAAAAAAATCTTTACTGAATTTTTTTTTTTTGGTACTGGGGATCAAACTCAGGACCCTGTGCTTGCAAGGTAGGAGGAGGAACCACTGAGCTAAATCCCCGGCCCTTTACTGAAATATTTTCCTCATTTAATAAACTCACTGGCGCCAGAGGGTGGTGCAGCTCAGAGGTAAAGTGTGTGCTTAGTGTGTTCAAAGCCCTGGGCTCAAACTCCAGCACCAAAAATAAAGAAAAAAGCATAGACACCAGAAAGATTGATGACAAGATTTCTGATAGTCTTAGAGTACTCAAACGTGTTATGATTCTCTACATTTCTTTTTTTTTTTTTTCCTGGTGTTGGGGATTGAATCTAGGGCCACATCCTCAGCTCCCCCTCCCTTTGTTTTTGTTTTTTGTTTTTTTGGTACTGGGGCTCGAACTCTGGACCTTGTGCTTTCGAGGCAGGCATGGGCTAAATCCTTGGCCCGATTCTCTAATTTTCTGTGGGCTTAAAATATAAAATGATACAAGTGATGCAACTCAAAAATATGTAAAAGGCATTAAAATAGAGCTAGTTTTCTGTAATACCATAATTTCAGTGAGTCATGAGATTGTCACAGGATGACAAGTTCCTTCACATACCACGGACTTCCCCAAGACAATGTCAGGCCAACATAATAGGGAGAAAATGTGAGGGCCAGGGATGATTTGAAACCTGAGACCGCACAAGAATGTCAAGCAAAGGGAAAAATCAACATGTTCAGCTAGAAATGAGTGATTTTATTTTAAAACACATACAGATTAATAAATATTATTGGAAAACTTAATAAATAACCTTTCCTATTTACATAAGGCAATTACATCATGCCATGACTACTTCTATAAAGCAAAATATAAGTCTTAGCTATTGATAAATGTGTGCATGTGCTAATCAGAAGCTCCTCTGATGCACTGACATGAAAAAGTGTTATGCAACCAATATCAATTTTGACATTTTTATCTAGCCTTCTTCCTGTTCAATGATTATATTCCATTTCACCAGGAAATAACAGCTATCCTTTAAAAAGGCAAAGACACTCAAGAATGCTACTGGAAAACAACACCATTAAATTTTGTAAAATACAAAACCACTGAATGGGTATGGGAGCATATTTCTGTATTCTAACAAATAAGAGGAATGTCTGAATTTTCCCACATGGCCCTTTGGCACTAGTGGCTGGGAAGCCCCTGACGTGCACTTGACGTCAGAGGTCATCGTCTAGGTTAAGCTGCTTGAGAGCAGGGAGCTCAGCATTGTTCATTACCAATCACAGGGGACAGAATCAGCCACACAGTCATCTCATTTTCTGCAGAACAGACCTAAGCAGGGTGGCAGAGGAGCTCCTCATACCGTCAGCATGTGATCATTCAGTGCAGTTTTCAGCCTCCCAATTTAATTTCCATATTTTACAACAGAATATACAAAACCCTTTAAAAAACAAACAAGGGAAAATTAAAGCCTCAAGGAATCACACAAACTTGACAACCAGGGCTTCCTTTACTTGCTTTGTGCTCAAAGCCTCTGGTCCTTGGCACTGTCGGGGCAGACTTCCTGGTCAATGCAGCGAGTTCCAGCACCACTCCCAGAGCAGTTCTGAGTGCAGTGCCTTCATCCGAGGCCACCTGAGCACTGCTACAGTGCCACAGTGGGTCTGGAGAGCCATCCCACCCCTTTAGAGGTAGAAAAAACGAGGCATAGAAAGGTTAAGTGACTCACCCATATTTGCACAATTCAGGGAAAAATGGAGAAAAGAAACAAATCCTCCTTAGCTCTAGGCCTTAGGCTCTGCTTTTTAATCATTTTGGGTACATCTGAGTACACATTTATTTACATGATCACTGCTCTACTGAATATCAAGTTTTTACTAGACTACTTTGATGTAACAAAGGTTACAGTTTCTTAAAATATAACTATTTTGTTACATTTAATAGCATATGATATATGTATATGAAAATAAACAAGTAGTGGCATTGGGCCAAATTCTCCTACAATTCTTAATCTGTTCAAGTATACAATGGAGGTACAAGAATCTGGCCAGATGTGAAAAGTCACCTATGAGCAAAAGGATAGACCCTTAAAATTCATCACCAGTAACAACTGTGAAGTGCAAATGAGGAATACAAAAAATTGAGGTATTTTATGTGATAAACTGCCTCGTAGTGACTGGTGTGCCAACTGGTCTTTTCTCTTGCCGACACAAGTTAACATAATCTAGATATGGTTATGAGTAAAACATACAAAACAGGAGCAGGGACATTTCCTTGGAAGTAAGGTCAACAGTGAAGTAATACATTTTGGGTCCCTGAGAAGGCAGAACACCAAGATTCCATGCAACCCTGCTTGGCAGGTGTATGACCTCCTTGGTGTCAGACACATGGAGGACACCCCCTCAGACCAAGGAGCTGACCCAACATCAGTCACAAAGTCCTCTTCTCTTTCTAGTCTCCTACTGAGTCACACGAAGCTGAAATAGGCTCTAGGAGCATCAGAGAAGAGCTATGGATGTGGCTCTGCGGACCCCTAGAGCGTCCTCTCCATTCTTCTAAAGGAGCGGAGCAGCTGGAAAAGAGAGCTATCAACTCCTGACAAGAATTAGCAGCAGGGGCCAGGGACACAGCTCAGTGGTAGAAGCGCACTTGCCTATCATAGTGGAGGCCCTGCGTCTGGGCTCCAGCACCTCAAAACAAGCAAAACCAGAGGAAATCTTGGTTTGGATAGGAGTGTGGCTCAATGGCAGAATGCTTGCTCAGCATGCACCAGACCTGGGTTCAACCCAAAACAACAACACATGGTACGGCTGTGCTCAGCAACACCTGTCTCCATGGACTGAGTGTTTATCCAAACCCAGAGACACTGCATCTGAACACTTCACAGAAGTCTCCAAACTGACTTCTAAGAGTTGAGGAAAATATTTATTTACCAGGAGCTGAGCTGTCCAGAAAAAAGGGGAACAGTGACTGCACATTTGAACAGTGTTCTATCAGAAAACAGAGATGAAACCCACAAAAGAACAAAGACCAGTATCTTAATGCTAGGATTTACTGCTGGAAATAAAACCAGAGTGAACAAACTGGCTGAAGACGTAGTGCTGAAAGAATATTTCTTATTGCTGAGCAGAGAGCAGTGAAATACATTGTATTAACACCCAGATAGGAAAAGACTGTGATGACAGCTGAGTAGTGAGCAAGGCCACCAGAAAACCAGACTGCTCCTGGGGTCCCAGCACAGGCAGCACTACCCTCGTCTGCCGAGCCTCACAGAGAGGCGGGACACGCAGAGCAGCAAGCACCCAGGACGGGCGCTGTCCCGGGCCTGTGCTGGGGTTAGAGTCCTTACCTGGTCCCACACTTGGTCAGTAAGCAGAACAGGAAACAATCCTTCCAAACGTAAAGGTTTAGATGCTTAAGGAGGAGAGGAGAAAGTGACCTCTTTAAGTATCTATCAAAAGTAATTTTGGAAATTTTGCTTTTAAAAAACCTTTGACTTTAGTGGAGACTTGAAAACAAGTACACTTGCAAATTAATTCTTTTTACTTAGTAGCTGTTGTGTCGGGTGGAGGGGTAACTCCCCTTCGGTACTGGGGGTTAAATTCAGAGTCTCTGCACTAAGCTGCATCCCCAGTCCTAAGTCGCTAAGTTGCCCAGGCTGGGCTTGAATTTACAATCCTCCTGCCTCAGTTTCCCAGAGTGCTAGGATTACAGGGATGTACCACCATGCCCACTTTTCCTTAGTTTTATCAGAGATAAAACTCAAAGCATATCATCAGGAAAATGTTTTGTATGTATTTACTTTTGGCAAGACCAATCAGAGATGCATCCCCAAATGGCCCTCCCTTTAAGCTGTCCTTTGGGGCTTTTTCTTCTTTGTATTTTCAAAAGAACTATAAGAAAATGCATTTGTAAAGTAAATCATATTAGACCTAATATATATGCTCTGTGTTAACCCTGAAAACCAGATCACTAGACACAAAGGGCACTGCCACTCGCTTGGAAACAATGTGCACTTTGTTCTGCTGGAATGAAAGTGGCATGCCCTACTACAGCATCTGCTGAACAGACAGAAACCTGAGAGACAAGACACCTTCAAGAGGGGAGGAGATATTAGCTGTGAGATTTTGCCTTACTCTTAAAAAATCATAGGGAGAATCACCTAGGAACTGTCACCTCTGAATAGTCACGGTACACTAAGAGATGCATTTAAACTAGGCTTCATCTGTAGGTTACAGCAAAATGAACAGAATTTCCACATTATGAACTTTCTTATACTTGTATAGCCATACCTATGCTTTCTCAAGCTCCTTACCTAAGGAACTATTTTTATGCCTAAAAGTGTATTTGTTTTTCTGATTTTTTTTTGGTACCGGGGATCAAACTCGGGTCCCTGTGCTTGCGCAGCAGGTGGTGAAACCACTGAGCTAAATCCCTGACCCAACCTAAAAGTGTATTGACCCTGCTACATAATGCTTTTGCTTATACTTAAGAGTTTAGTAGATTAAGGCCTGCATTCCTAAGAATGCTGAAAATAAAAAAAAAACAAAACCTTCAGGAGCTGATAAAAACAGAAATAACTTTTCTGTGGATTTAATTACTCAACAGTATAAGACTTTTAAAACTTTAAATAAATTTATTTATTTATTTATTTATTTTGGTACCGGGGATCGAACTTGGGTCCTTGCGCTTGCGCAGCAGGCAGTGAAACCACTGAGCTAAATCCCCGGCCCAAAAAACTTTAAATAATTTTGCTGCCGCTTTTCAAAAATCAATGACAAACCAAGATTATCACATGTACTTTTAATTCATACAGTATTGTTTAGCCTTATGTTAAACGAGTCTTATTTTATTTAGCCTCTTTGTTCAATACTTTAGGGAACTATTCCTTGGGTCTTTATTTTAGAAATGTTGTTTCTGCCTGGAGAAGCACAGTTTTGCCTTAGTGAGTAACTTTAACTGGGTATCACTAACTTTCATGGTCCCTGCTCTGCTCTACTTGACCGAATCTTGGGTGTGGCACATGTCCCCATTCAGGTGGGACGCTGCTGGAGAAGTACACAACATCACTGTTGATTTGCATCACTCCATGCTTTGCTCCAATTTAATACACTTGGAAGGTTACTACAGACAGAAAAATGATCTTTTTGATGCAAAACCTGCCACAATTATTGGCTATTTAGGTAGTCTTTCATTTTGTTTCATCTTGTTTTTGGTTCTGAGGATGAAACCCTGGTGTTTGTGTATGCTTAAGAAGTCTGAAAGGTTGGGTAAAAAACTTTTGGATGAGACCCCAAACAATGAGAGGGCTAAATGAGCTATTTCCATCTTTGATATACATTCCTTTAAAACTACGTGTGTTGTAATTTGTAGAATCTGTCTTAAGCTTACCTATGCGCTTTAATTTGCTCCTGTATTGAAGGACAGTCAGTATATGTGCTATTAAACAATTATTCCTTCATGTAGTAACTTTTTATTAAGGAGTTTATTTCTTCCAAATGGTCACAAATGCTTGGTGAAAAACAATGTAAATATATTTGATACTGGACCCTAGTTACACAAGTTGAATGAAAATAAAATGCCTCATGCTACTTAATTAGTTGTCTTTAATTAGAAAATAACTACATGCTGAATGGGTCCATTTGCCCTAATGTGTCTTTAGTTTTGACTATCTTCCACTGACTATATTATTTCTAACTGCTTTACATATTTGTAATCTGAACATTGAAATATAAATATATAACCAAGGAAGTGGCATTATTCTAATCTAAGAGAACATACACATAGTAATAGTCAAATTAAGTGAATAATTCAAGTGATAAAGGCACTGAAATTGATTTGAGCTACTGAAAAGTCACCCTGCCAATGGAATACTGCATCACATTCACTAACTCTTCTCTACTTGCTAGTAAGATGTCTCGGGATGAGTGCAGGCGAGAGCTGATTTGTTAGAGAATTAAAAACAATTCAATATATACCTCCTATTTGAATGAGGTTCCTGAATATTATACATGCTTAATGCAAACTAACACAACTATAGTCACATTTACTGTACAGAGCCAGATTTCAAGACAATTTCTCCTGCTTCCAAAGTAATCTTCTAAGGACATTTGCTCTCCTGCAAAGACTAACCAGAAAGAGCCCACCTTTCTTTTCTAGAACTTCTTTTTTTTTTGTACCGGGGATAGAACTCGGGTCCTTGCACTTGCGCAGCAGGCGGCGAAACCACTGAGCTAAATCCCCGGCCCTCACCTTTCTTTTCTGATTAGGTCATGTTAAAATATTTTAAAAGGAAAGAGTAGTCACAAAAGCTTCCAGGTTAATGGAAATGAAAATGACATTCATCTCATCAGAGAGAGACGACGCCCAGGCAACCACTGAGAGGTCTGGGCTCCTCAGGGCTGGGCCTGGCCGGTGTGGAGCTAGGCTCCTCGTGTCCGCTAGGCCACCTGTGAGTGCACGGGTGACTCTCACACCAGGGATTGAGGGTCTCTGCCACTTCACATCCAGTCTAGACCAGGAACCACCTCCAAGTCCTGCTCCTCCAGCCCCCAACCCCTGGCCGCATCCTAGTCTGTTTTCATGTTGGATTTGTTCATCTCCCCGAGGTTGAAATTGAACTCTTTGAACACCTGTATAAGAACGATCCCCACAGAGACAGTCGTGAATCCACAGGCCATACCCAGGAAATCCACCAGGCCCACATTGCTCCACTCCCGGAAGAGGATGGCTGACGCCAGCAGGACCAGAGTGGTGAATACTACGTAGTAGATGGCCCCAAACACAGAGGAGTCGAAGCACTCTAGTGCCTTGTTGATGTACCTGAACTGGACAATGATGCTGCAGCCCAGCACGGCCAGGAGCACCAGGCACAGGCACAGGGCTCTCTGGCTGGATGGGTTGTTGTGCAAGATGTCTTGGGCCGCCAGCCCTATGCCCTTTGTGGAAGGCACGGTGAAACTCCCCAGCAAGGAGCAGATGCTGATGTAGACCATGATGTTGGTGGGCCCGTGGGCCGGAGCAATCCAGAAGATGAGCAGCAGTAGCATGAGCAGCACGATGCACAGGTAGCCCACAAACACTGCAAGACAGATGGGACACGGTGACCCAGGCTGTCCTCTGCCGGCTGCCATCCAGAGGGCAGGGCCAAGGCAGTGCCTGGCCCCCACCAGCCACTCTCGAGGGTGCTCTGGAGGGCAGGCAAGCATCTGGGGGAGCTGGCTTGATTTCACTGGATCCACCGATTCTGTTCTACAAACACTACTCCCATTGTTATATTCACCACCGAAACACTGGTGGAGGCTGGGGATACAGCTCAGGTAAAACACTCCCACAGCATGTGCAGGCCCCTGGGCTCCACCGCCAGCCCTGGGGAGAAAAACTGTATAGCTCTAAGTTGCCACACCCACAGCAAACAAGAAAGCCACAAGACTATGACCTTCCCAAGAACTCCCAGGGTCAGTGCTGGCTATGTCCTTCACCATTGGGGCCTCACTGATTCTGTCCTCTTGCAGGGCCCTATACCGGCGTGCACACCATGATCAGCCAGGTCACACCTAGAGCCACTCATTGCCCCTCTATGCTGGCGAGGACATGCCCGTGGGCCTGGCCACCCCCAGGGTACAGTCCTAGGATGGCTAGAGACACTGCAAGCACCCCATTGGGCAGGCAGGGAGCCCCCTCCTCTGTGGCCCCCAATCAAAATGAAACACAGAACTCCTAAATGTTGGTATGGTCCTCTATTAGTGCCATTTGTACACTAAATTCAACATGAATGATTTATTGTTAAAAATAAGCCATTCAGATACTTTCTTTAATAGGTGCTATTCAAATTTTATATTTCCTCCAGAGTTAGTTTCATTAATTTGTCTTCCAACGTACTTCTTAGAAGTTGTCAAATTTATTTCAAAAAAGATTTTTGTAATATGCTTTCTATATCCTTTTAAATTCTGTAAAATCTGTGGTAATGTCTCCTAGATCTTGATATTGCAATTTAAAAAATGTATAATTGATATTCTATAACAGGAAGAAAATGTCTAAAGGAGCAGGGGAAGTGGGAGGGGTAGGAGAAAGGAAAGAAGGGAAAAGAAAAAATATGAGAAAAGAAAAAAAATGGAAACAAAGTCTTTGCAAATAGGGAAGGGTGGAGGGGGTGAAGGGAAGGCAGGGGAAGGGGAAAAAAATAAGAACCAAGATACTCATGTAAAGGTACAAGATCCCAGTGATGAATGTAATTGTACTGTATACCTAAAACATACCAATAAACTTAATGGGAAAAATAAATAAATAAATAAATAAATAAATAAATAAAAATAAGCCATTCAGGGCCGGGGATTTAGCTCAGTGGTTCTGCTGCCTGCCTCACAAGCACAAGGATCTGAGTTTAATGCCTGGTACCAAAAAAAAAAAAAAGGTCTATCTCAGGCTGGCCCTGAACCTGTGATCTTCCTGCCTCTGCCTCCTGAGAGGAGGGATGACAGGCCTGGGCCCCTACACATGGCTGTAAGACGGTTTTCTTACTTTCTAGAGTGAATCCCACAGATCCTTACTGCATGGCTGTCATGGGTGGTAGTGCAGGGGTGGAGGACATGGCGAAGGTGGGGACCCTAAACAGCAGTGTCCACACCGGTCACGCAGCACACAGTGGGCAGGGGCGTTGCTGAGGCCCCACACATTACCCTGTTCTCATGACACCTGCTGTCTCCTTGGACTTGGAAGTGAAACATCTGGTTATAGTAACAGAGCCCAGAACCTGTCTTATGTGCAAAACAAAGCACCCCTCATACGGATTTCCTATACACTGAATTTTTGAGAAATGCAACTTCCATGTAAATTGAGGGAGAATTATGCCTTGTTCAAAGGAACTTCAAGGGTTATCGTCCATCGCAGTGGATTCTATTGCAGTTGGCAAGGCCCCGTTTGAGTCACTCATGCGTCACCTCCAAATAGTCTGCATCTGCAACTGTCAGACCACGGGGCTGGAGTCCCCATCTGCCTTGTCTTGTTGTTAACCTGATCATTTATAAAGTAGCATCCTGCTGCTTCTCCTTTGCTTTACAGTTCCAGTATTATACCTATTGCTTTGGAATTATGTATACAAGGAGGTTGCATTTTTTTTTCCCAGTACCAGGTATTGAACTCAGGACCTTGTGCTTGCAAGGCAGGCGCAGTGCCACTGAGCTAAATCCCTGGCCCCAGGAGGTTGCATTTTGACGATTTTTTTTGAGACAAGGTCTTGCTATGTAGTCCAAACTGGCCTCGAAGTTGTGGCCATCTTCCTGCCTCAGCCTCCTGAGTGCTGGGATTACAGACATGTGCCACCACATCCAGCATATTTTGTTTTGTTTTGTTTTGTTTTGTTTGTTTTTTGGTACCAGGGATCGAACTTGGGTCCTTGCGCTTGTGCAGCAGGCAGTGAAACCACTGAGCTAAATCCCTGGCCCATCCAGCATATTTTAATGGATTTCATCCCCACATTATAAAGAGGATACTGGACCTCCCAGGGCTGGGTACTACCTGGACACAGAGCCAGTCAATGCAGACATGTAAATCAATAGGCATGGACATGCAAACCACCAAGCAGGCAGCTACAGCCCTGGCCTTCAGAGGTGAGGAAGAGAAGCTATGGAGCCCTACTCTGGGTGGACTCAGGAAGACTGCAAGGAAGGGAAATGAAAGGGCAATTTTCTGGGAGGCCTAGCTACAAACTGGGTGAGGGGTGAGCTAGGAATGGTGGGGCACGCCTATAATCTCAGCACTTGGGAGACTGAGGCAGGAGGATCGCTGGGAGTTCAAGGCCAGCCTGGGCTACATAGTGAGACCCTACCTAGCCCAAAAAACAAAAACAAACAAAAAACCTGGGAAGGCAGTTAGACGGGATGCATATAACACAGCGCCTGTGGAGCAGGTTCAGGGTTGGGGAGGCAGATGGTTAGAAACAGCCCGTATGCACTGAGCAGACGCAGCATCAGAAGGAGCAGGGTGTGAATGTGGAGTGCAGGGCCCTCTCATGGGAAGGGCCTGCACTTCAGAAGGGTCCCGGGTGTCCAGAGGGTGAGAGGTCAGGGGCTTGAGGGCAGGGCACAGGAAGGTTAGCACATGGCAGCAGTGCGGGTGGCAGAAGGAAAAGACGGCCAGTGGCCAGTTAGCTCGGGAGAGGGCAGGAGAGGGCACCCAGCCTCGGCAGGCATCTGTGAGAACTGGGCAGCTCGGAAAGAAAGTCCATGCCCAGAAGACCTGTTGATTTCACAGGCTAAGCCTTAGCTTCTTCCATGTTAGAGCAGGCAGCCAGCTGGCCCTCAGCTTTGTGATGTTTTTCACTTCTTTTCAAGCAGTTTTGTTCATTATCATCCCCGCTTAGGAACCACTTTACACTCCCCCCCACCAACTGCTCACCTTCCTGAAATTTTAATATCATTGAAATACTTACGTGCCTATATACTGTACCTAAATCTGTATAAAGGCTAGGTATACAGCTCAGTGGCAGAGCACTCACCTAGCATGCACAAGGCCCTGGGTTCAATTCCTGCCACTGCCAAAAAATAAACAAATAAAAGTAGCCTTTGGATATGTCTGCTGGAAATTACCTAAAATTAATCCTTGAGCCTACTCACATCTGATTCTCTGATTTTTTTCCATTGTCTTTGTACTCACCTTGCTACAGTTACCAGAACATTTTGGCTTTTATGAGTGTGAATGATATCACAATGCTCAGTGTTAGATGTTTAGATAAAACTAAACATCGCGGGTAGATGGCTAATCTTGGTTAGTTTCACTCCAGATTCCTATTTAAAGTTTTACAGATGGTTCGATGCTACATTCGTCACTGTTATTAAGGAATACAAAGGGCCGTCCCCACAGCTGTGGCCCGGAGACATTTGTGTGAAGGCACCTCTGTGTGGGCATCGAGGCAAAACTGTTGGTAACCAGCACAGGGTAATCGCCTGGACGTAATTTAAAGGAACTCTGTGCTTTCAAGTGGGTGTGATGATGCATTGTTTTTACTACATCTATCAAAAATAAGAAGTTATTACATGTCAAACACACAGAGACACAAAACCCTTTCTCCACTCCAAGTTTTCCATCAGCAGGTGAGGCTGGGGGAAGACAGAGGAGAGCCCATAGGTGCCTCACCAGCGGGTCTGCAGGAATAACTGCAGGGAGGGCAGGGAGCGAATGTTGCAGCGGGGAGAACCCAGACAGCACAGGGACACAGCAGCAAACACTGATGGGGAGGAGCGACCAGGAGGAGCGGGCAGAGCGGAGTCACAGGCCCCGGCAGTCTCTGTGGAGCGGGAGGTGTCCCTGGAGCACGAGGAGCTGCTGGGGCTCAGGAAAGAGCCACTGTGCCCGGGCCATGAAGAAGGCCCTGCAGGCAGGGGCCGGGATGGGTGCTCATCACCGTCCTGGTGAGTAGGGTCCCCATGTGGTTCGGGCACCCCGTGTGGGGTCGGTTTGCACACCTGCACATGGAGTGGCAGCCAGACAGAGCGTGTCTGCACATGTGGGGTTGGCTTGCACACACGGCCACCCCAAAACAGAACGCATCTCTGTGGTGGCAGATTACGGTGGGCACGGGGCTGGCTTGCAGTGTCAGAAACCTCAGGCTGGCCAGCGGCTCACAGCCTGGCGTTCCGGGCAGCTCTCTGGCGCGAGCTAGAATGGAGTTACCTGGATTGGTGAGCTTCTCTTCCAGCTCAGCCTGCGTCGTCACGCTCTCAGACTTTGGGGAGTGGATAATCAGCACGACGGAACCTGCACAGCTTAGCAGGCACCCCAATTTGCCCAAGATGTTGAGCTTTTCCTTCAGAAGGTAAGAGGCTAAAATGGACCTTCAATTAAATAAAAGAAATCAGTATAGTTTAAATCAAACTATCTTCTCTGTTTCTACCCATGACATATACTTTATCTAGAAAACTCACATTTTCTCAATAGCCATATTTTATTTATCACTTATTGTTTGTTGTTTTGTTTTGCTGTCTTTGGTGCTGGAGATTGGACCCAGGACTCTGCACATGCTAAACATACATTCCACCACTGAGCTAAACCCACCCACAACCCTTCATTTAGTTTTTAAAAGTAGAAAAAGAGAAACATTAATAATTCCTATATTGGTTTCCTGAAATTGTTATTTCAGCACAAATTGGATTTTCATGCACAGCCAGTATAAAGTTAAGAGTATCTTAGCTCATATCACTACATTAGATTATCTCAGTAGATATAAAAATATAACAGGGTACAAAAGTTTTACAACTGATCAAAAATAAAAGTACTGCTTCCATATTTATAAAACTAAACAATAAAAAAATGCCAAGTGGGGAATGTAGGGCATAAAAATTGTCAAAAGAATTACAAGTAATGCAGGATTAAAACAAAAAAACCACTCAAGTTAAAATAAATTCAGGGGCCAGGGATTTAGCTCAGTGGCACTGTGCCTGCCTCGCAAGTGCAAGGTCCTGAGTTTGATCCCCAGTAGGGGGAGTGGGGTGGAGGGGTGGAGATTATAAAACAAATTCAGCCAAAAAATGCCCAAGCTGAGGACAAAGGAGGAAAGGAGAAGGGAAAGAGACATAAAGAACTGTGAAGAATGTGATCATTATGTACTGCGAACACACGCTGATAAAAATTAAAAATGTTTCAATGCCCAAACTGAAAAAACACCTGTAAAACTATAATAACACTAATTAAAGCAGGGAAAAGTAGAAAAAGTAGAAGGAATATGGGTGATTATTTTTCTCTAGAACCAGAAACTTTCAAAATGTCTATTACTTTTCTTTTTTTGGTACTGGGGATCGAACTCGGGTCCTTGTGCTTGCGCAGCAGGTGGCAGAACCACTGAGCTAAATCCCCGGCCCGAGGCTATTACCTTTTTTAAAAGTCTAAATTTATACAATGCCCGCAATCCTCAAGCCTAGAGAGTGCTTTCTCTCTTATTTCCCTGTAAAATCCATACACAACCTGAACTGGAAATCCTGAGCGTTTTGTCACAGACTGGCCACTCTTACACCTCTGGGGTCTGCACCAGTGCTGGCGAGCCTATGGCCCACGGGTCACTGTGTTTTTCTTTTAAGATGAAGGATGTTAATGTATGAGTTGTTTCTTCTAGACTAAAACTTCAGTATTGTTTATTTTTTTAATTAATTTATTTTTTGGTACCGGGGATCGAACTCGGGTCCTGGCGCTTGCGCAGCAGGCAGTGAAACCACTGAGCTAAATGCCTGGCCCACTTCGGTATCCTTTAACTGCAGTGTTGGCTATGGGAGAGTGATCGGTCCTCCAACTGAAGTAAAAAAGACAGCAGAGGGCCAGGGATTTAGCTCAGTGGTTTCACTGCCTGCTGCGCAAGCGCAAGGACCTGAGTTCGACCCCCCCGTACCAAAAAAAAAAAAAATAGCTTTCAACCCAAAGCCACAAAGCCAGTGGAAGGGCAAGGGAAATTTCCCTCTGCCCTCTCAAGTTTCTGTGAAAAAAAAGGCCAGTAGATAGATTAACAGGAGAAAAATATACCTGCTTATTTAACATGTTACGTTTGGGATCCGAAATGTCCCCAAAGGCCATAGGCTCAAGCCTGTGGTGCTACTGTGAGTCGGCAGAAGACCAAGGAGTGGCACTGGAAGGAAGTCGCGTCACCGGGGTTGTTCTCTTGAAGCGGGTGTTGGGATCGGAGCTCTTCATTTCTCCCTGCCTCTTCTGCCCCACACTTCCACCATGAGGTGCTGCCTCACCACAGGCCCCCAGACAACAGCTCCAGCCAACCATGGACTGAGGCTCCCCAAACTGTGAGCCTAAATAAACTCTTCCTCATTATGAACTCTGTATCTCAGGTATGTGTCACAACAACAAAAAGTTGACACACAGACATGGATGAGCACAACAGCCATACGAATGTGAAGCTCACAGGAAGGCAGGATGCTTGACAGTCAATGTCCATTTCACCGGAGGGAGAGAAGGGGGAACGGTGGCCGAGCCAATATAAGAGGCAGTGAATGCTTCTTAGAATAGATGAGTGACACCAGAGAGCAGGCAACGGCCTGGGACAGCGCTCCTTGCAGCTGTGGGAGAGGTAACAAACCAGTGCAGGACGGGAAGGGACAGAACTTCACTGCAGGCACGAGTTGTCATAGGCAGGTGGTCTCTCAGTGGCGCTTAAGCTTGATGATGTCAAATGGACTGGCCTGGCATCCGCCGAGGGATTTGGGTGTCTGGGTGAGTCCCAGAGGTGTGGTCCCCATCACCTCTGGTCCGCACCCCTCCCCTCCCACAGCACTCTCCTCTGCTTTCTGGACCCCAGGACCTGCACGGCTCTGCTCCGTCACACCCCTCCGCCACGATGCTCCTGCCATGGAGCAGCTGACCGTGGACTGAACCCCTTAAAGTGTGAACCAAATTAATCCTCTCCTCCTTTAAGTTGTGGGTACCAGGTATTGTGTCTCGCAGCGGGAGAGCTGACTAATACGGCCACCCCTAGGACAATGGACGAAAGTGCGTCTGGGCACAGGAATGACTTTCAGTCTCTTCCTCCAGAGGTTGTTCTTTCCTAGTTATTTGAGGAAATACCTAGGTAAAGGGTTTAAAACAACCACACCTCCTTTAGGAGAAATACCCTCAGTCACAGAAGTGAACTTCTGAGAAAGCGTCTCCCTGTTGCTTTGGGAAAGAAAAAGGATGAAAGACGATACTGGCTGGGGTGGCACACTCTTGTCATCCCAGCACTTGGGAGGCTGAGGCAGGAGGATCACTGCAAGCTCGAGGCCAGCCTGGGCCACATAGTGATTTCAAGGCCACCTGGACTGCATAGCGAGACCCTGTCTCATTTTAAAAAAGGAAGAGGAAACAGAAGATGACCGACTAGGTGACCAGATGGCAGAAATGCAGCAGGCAGGGGCAGGGGTGCTGGTGAGGGAGAGCTTAGGACGAGGCCTGTTTCTCCAGCTCAGCAGGCCCCAGTCCACACTTGGGGGTCATTTTCTGAGCCCCAACACTAACTAGCGGTGAAATGACAGTGACCCAACCGTGAGGCCAAAGCTCCCATCCTGTGCCTGTGCTGCATCCCTGCCCCTCCGCGGCTCTGTCCTGAGGAGCCTCCAAAATGGAACGGAGAAATACGCCAAACCACTGTACCCAAGCAGCAGACCGCACAGCTGATGTTAAATCAAGGGGCCAAGAACGAGGCTTGACCACACGGCCAAACCCTCTTCTTCCCCAGGAAAACAGCAGAGTAGAGTGCCCCTTTTAAAATTGAGTTGTCCTTTTATTGATGAATTATGATTTTTACACATCCAAAATACAAGTCCCTTACATATAATTTGACATTTTTTCATCCACTTTTTTCACTTTCTTGCTGGCATCCTCTGAAGCACAGTTTTGATTTTAATAATACATGGCTGATTTTAATAATATACAATTTATTTTTCTTTTGTTCCTTGTGGTTTTGTGCTGTAGGTGCGATAACTAATAGCCCAAGGACGCATCATGATTGCCATAACCTGTTTTCTTCTAAGAGTTGCACAGTTTGGGCTCTTACACTTGGGTCTTCGATACATTTTTGGTACTTTTTGTGTGATGAGGGAGGAAAACTGCCCTCCCTGGCATGTGGGGCTGCTGGCTCAGTACCATTTGCGCAAAACTTCTTTCCCCATGAACTAACTCAGCACCTCGGGCAAAAATCAAGACTGTAAACTTGAGTGCACTTCTGGAATCTCAATCTGTCCTATTCATCTACATGTCTATCTTCCCTCATGTCCATTTTCCATGACTAGTTTTCCAGGAAGTTCTGAAATCTGGAAGCACGAGTTCTCCAGCTTAGTTCTGGCTTTTCAGGACTGCCTCCTTATTTCAGTCCCTTGCATTTCCCTATGGATTTTATAGCAGCTTGTTCAATGTCAGTAAAGAAGTCAGCTAAGATTTCAATTGCACTGAATCTGTGGATTAATTTGAGAGTACTGACATCTTAATAATGTTAGTTCTTCTGACTGCAGGCATGGGACGTTTACTTGGATCTTTTACTTTCATTCAAGGGTGCTTTTAGAATTTTCAGGTATGAGTTTTTATACTTAAATTTACTCCTAGTCCATTCATTTTGGTACTACTGTCTATGGAATTCCTTTCTCAATTTCATTTCTTGTTTACCTGCTATGATAGACAGACAAAGTGATTTTTGTATATTGATCATCTGTCCAGCAATCTTTCCAAACTAGTGTTAGTTTGAAATTTTTAGTGGATTCCTTAGGATTCTCTATATAGTATTCTCTCCCAACAAAGACAGCCAGCCTCCTTCCTTTCCAATCTGGATGCCGTTTAGTTCACTTGCTTGCCTAAATGCTTTGGTTTTAACATCCCACAAAATGCTGAGTAACAATAGTAAAAGCAGATGGCTTGGCTTGTCCTCTTTGACCTGAGGAGAAGCATCTAATCTTTCACCATTAAGGATGATGGCAGGGGGAGTACAATGTGAGAGCCAGAGCTGTGGTGCACGCCTGTAATCCCAGCTACTTTGGAGGCTAAAACAGGAAGATCTCAAGTTCAAGGCTACCCTGGGCAACTTAACAAGATCCTGTCTTAAAATTTATAAACAAACGGGCCGGGGATGGAGCTCAGTGGTTTCACCCCCTGCTGCGCAAGCGCAAGGACCCAAGTTGGATCCCCGGTACCAAAAAAAAAATTATAAACAAATTAATAGATAAGGTTGGAGATGCAGCTCAATGCCAGGCTCTGGGTTCAATTACCAGCATCAAAAAAAAAAAAGGATTTTAGCTGGGTGGTTTTCATACAGATCATTTGGGGATATACAGTTAGTCCTTATTCCTAGCACACTGAGTGTTTACCTCATGAA